AGGGAGAAGCCATAGCTAACTGCTAGTGCTTAATGTAACTAGCGTGTGTGAAAACTTTGAAAATAGCGAAAAGTCGCTAAAAGAAAGAAGTAAGTTAGCTACGAGTGTTAAGGTAGAACTAGTCTACGTTTAAATGTTAAGCGGGTAAATAACCGCTGTAACGAGTAAATCAAATTTATATTTAGCATTCACTGACAGAGCTACAGCACCAAACAGTGTACACAGAGCAGGAAGTAAACTGGAAATGAGTTAGTACGCTTACTGTTTGCATGTCAGCATTAGTATTGCCCTGTATCACTCTGTATCACTCTGTATCAGGCTGTATCACTCTGTATCACTGTATCACTCTGTATTGCCCTGTATCGCTCTGTATCGCTCTGTATCGTGCTGTATTACTCTGTATAACCCTGTATCACCATATCACTCTGTATTGCTCTGTATCACTCTGTATCGCCCTGTATTGCTCTGTATCGCCCTGTATCACTCTGTATTGCTCTGTATCACTCTGTATCGCTCTGTATCACAGCCACAGATACATGAGAGTGCTACGCCAATCCTAGGGGTAGTGATAGCATCCAGGCCACTCCCTGGCGCTGCCAATGTTCATCAGTCTGTTTCCTTGAAACCAAAATCTCTACATTTTCATCATAAGACTATAACTGAATCAAACTCAGGTGTTCTCAGTGGACAGTAGATAACTTTAGTTCATAAATCATCAGATAGCATTACTGAATGTAAAAGGCTTCTTATTCAACAAATCACTTAGTGTAGACAGGAGATATTATTGGAAACTGTTTGACCAATTAGGAGTCTGTGAAAACCCTCTTGGACCACTTAAGTCCACCATTTCAAATTTATTGAAAAACACATTTTTGCCGTCTTCTCCTGAACCGTCGGTCCAACCCCTATCAGATCTTCTGTGGATCATCATTGGACAAAGTTGATCAACAATTGGATAATGCTTGTTGATATCTTATTCTGTTTACAAGATATCAACAAATGAGCTTCAGAGGGGGTGTGGCTTAGCACGTAAACAGACATAAGTCAATAACCGTTGGACCGATCATCACAAAACTCACATGATCATTCAAATACACCACTAGGGGGGTGCTACTAATGCAAACACTGGACCTGCTATAAATCAGACTATAAATCAGAAATTGTTTTTCAATCATCATAAAACTACAGGATCTGTTTCAGAACAATGTTAAACCTCCTGTGTAAAACTATCTAACCTTAACCCTCCTGTGTAAAACTGTTTTGAATTTTCTAACAGTTTGCTTCATCATTTGTTATTATTTGTTATTATTTGTTTAATATTTGTTTAATATTTGTTGATGAAAATTTTAAACTTATGTTTGTTTTAAAATGTTTCTGTTTTATTGTTTTAGTGTAATTTTTGTTTGTGGAAATAAGGTGAACAAATATATTTTTCTTTCTAATTTTTGTTGATAGATGATGATAAAATTGTCTTTTCAGTTAGATTCTAGGTTGGCTTTATTCTCAGAACTTTTACAGACTCCACGTATATTAATGACAACGGAAGTCCACCTTATGTCTGTTTTATTTAAACTAGAATAGAAACTCAGTCAGTGGGTCTGAAAAAGCAAACTATAAAAGTTCAGTTGAATGAAATAATTGTATTTAAATGAACATACTTCAATCCGTTTTGGAAGTAAAGAAGCTTTCAGTGACTCCGATGTTAAACAGTCTGCTTCCTCCTGCATCGTTACTGTGAGCCGCTAACACAAACTGTTATTTTTCTGTAATAATGTGAGCTGACAGCAGAGCCTCCGGCTGCTTCGCTGTCTTTAAATATTAACAAGCAGTTTGTCCTGCTGTAATGTGTTCTCATTACTCTGAACCCTGAACCAGTGCAGAGTAAACCCCGCCAGTCCCCAGATAACAGCCTTCCTACTCTTCACCAACACAGCTCAGTCTCACACATGTTCTATCGATAAGACAAGTTTTTTAAAATCTAAAGTTGATCCTGTGAGACCTGGGGCCAGATGTATAAATTATGTGTACGCACAGAAACCCTGCGTACGTCTTTTCCCACACATAAAAGAACATTTATAAAAGAGGAAAGTGCAGAGAGAATGTGAACACTTCAGAGCAGCGTACTCACAGTTTTCAACAGATAACTGCGGTGAAATGAGGAGGAGTTGTGTCTCGTCAAGTGTGTTCATTTTAGTCATGTTCATGTTTAGTGTTT